CTGGCATGTTGCATGTTTTAAAAAAGATAAACAAATGGCTCACCGCCTGTAACTCAGCACGTTGGGGGAGACGGCCTCAGCAAAAGTCCAGCCGCGCGCACATCCTTCGACGCCGGAGTCCACTATGGTTGAGACATCGGTGAAACAACACCTCGTCTCTACCTCCACAAACATACAAAACTTACCAGAACGCAGCCACCCGGTGGCGGGCACCTGTAGTCCCCACTACTCGGGAGGACCTGAGGCAGGAAATCGCGCCTGAACCGCGCGAGGCGGAGCTCGCAGCTACGCCGCAGCACACGCCGACAACTCGCACTCCCCAGCCTGGGCCGACAGCGCTACCTCTGTCCAAAAAAAAGAGACAAAAACAAAGGCTAATACCAGGTAAGGCCTGGGCAGACTCACGGTGAGGTCAGCCCGAAGTTCAAGACCAGCCTGGCAACCACAGGTGAGGAGCTCCACTCATTTAAATACAAAATTAGCTGGGCACGGTGGCCTCATGCTCATGTACCCCCAGCACTTTATGAGGAGACATAAAAAAGGAAAGCAGAGCAATATCACGAGGTCAGGAGTTCGAGACAGCTGGTCAACATAAAGATGAAACCCCATCTCTCACTAAAATCACAAAAATTACCGACAAATAAATAGATGGTGGGCACCCTGTAATCCCAGCTACTCAGGGAGACATGAGCAGGAGAATCGCTCGACACACAGAAAGAGAGGGGGACAGGGAGGATTTGCATATTGGAACGAGACATGGAGGCAACCACTGCACCCAAAGCCCTACAGGGAGGAGGAGCAACAAGAGCGAAGCTTCATTCTCAAAAACAAACCAAACAAACAAAAAATACAAAAAGTAGCCAGGTGTGGTGACAGGCACCTGTAATCACGGCTACTCAGGAGGCTGAGGCAGGAGAATCACTTGAACCCGGAAGGCAGAGGCTGCAGTGAGCCGAAATCGCACCACTGCACTCCAGCCTGTGTGACAGAGGAGACTCCATTTCAAAAAAGAAAAAAAGATAAATATGCCAGATGCAGTAACACATGCCTGTAATCCCAACACTTTGGGAGGCTGAGGCTGGAGACTCACTTGAGGCCAGGAGTTTGAGACCAGCCCTGGCAACATGGTGATAACCCTGTCTCTACAAATTTTTTTTTTTTTTTTTTTTTGAGACAGAGTCTTACTCTGTCGCTTCAGCCTGGAGTGCAGTGGTGTAATCTGGCTCATTGCAACCTCTGCTTCCTGGGTTCAAGCCATCCTCCACCTCAGCCTCCCTAGCAGCTGGGATTACAGGTGGTGTGCTGCCACGCCCAGCTAATTTTTTTAATTTTTGTAGACACGTTTCACCATGTTGGCCAGGCGTCTCAAACTCCTGACCTCCAGGTGATCCAACGTGCCTCAGCTTCTCAAACTACAAAAAAATTTGTTTAATGTCAGGAGGTCGAGGGCTGCAGTGGGCTATAATTGCACCACTACACTCTACGCCGGGAAAACGGTGAGACCCTGTCTCAAAAGGAGCTCACTCTGGTCAGCGGGGTGGAGCAGGATTGTGGAAGGAGGGAAATTCAGGGACTTCAACTATCAACTGGACATGCTTCCTTCTTGGCAGATAGGGCTACAGAGCTATTCTTGGGTATGTTACTTTAACACCTCTGTGTAGGTTCTCAAAATTCCAAATAATATTTTGTTTGTAGTTTTTTTTTTTTTTTTTTGAGACGGAGTCTCACTCTGTCGCCACGCCTGGAGCTGCAGTGGTGGTTGAATCTGAACACGCTCACTTGCAAGCTCGGGCCTCCTGGGTTTACGCCTTCTCCCTGCCTCCAGCCTCCCGAGGTAGGCTGGGACTACAGCGGGCCCCGCCACCTCGCATGGCTAGTTTTTTGATTTTTTAGTAGAGATGGGTTCACAGCTGTTTTAGCCAGGGTGGCCTCCGACTTCTGGCCTGACATAGTGAATCCGCCCATCTCGGCCTCCCATTAATGTGGCTGGGATTATCAGTTTGCAGCCACCGGCCCGGCCTATTTTGTTTGCTTTTTAATTCATGCAACACCATTCACATCAAAATAAATTTTTTTCAACCCAGGCTATAGTGTAGTGGCGCGACTCCGGGCTCAGCTGCAACCTCTGCCCCTGGGGTTGCCAGCGATTCTCCTGCTCAGCCCTCCATTGTAGCTGAGAACCACAGGCACGTGCGCCCACCATGCGCCAAGGCTAATTTGTATTTTATGCAGGTTTTTATTTTTTTTTTTTTTTTTGAGACAGGGTCTTGCCTCCTGTTGCCCAGGCTAGAGTGGCACGTGGCACCAATCTCAGCTCACCTGCAACCTCTGGCCTCCCGGGTTCAAGCAATTCTCCTGCTTCGCCTCCCCAGTACGCTGGGACTACGGCACATGCCAACCAAGGCCCCCAGATTAATTCATTTAAAAAAGAATTTTTTTTAATTTAGTAAAGACCGGGGTTTCACCATGTTGGCCCAGGCTGGCTCTCAAATTTCCTGAGGCTCAGGCAGTCACCCACCTTGGCCTCCGAACAGTGCTAGGATAAGCCAGGTGTGGGGCCACTGTGCCCAGCGCTAATTTTTTTGTATTTTAGCTAGAGCATCGGGTTTGCCCCAATCTGTTGCGGGGGC